GTATGGGACTGACGGAAAGGTCTGTCACCGCCCCGTTCTGCATGCTGCAGCGAAGTGTACCTCGAGGGCCGTGGGACCAGATTGATTTTGAATTAGGTGCAATACACTTTCTCACCACTAGTAGCAGTAGTGCACCACTCAGATGTTTAACAACTTTTTAATATGTAGAAGAAGAACCTTAGAAACCTGCTGAGAATGGAAACTTATTTTAAATGAACTTTTAAAATATTGCATGATAGAACCAGAAGCTATACTTCATATTAGTGACAAACTTTGGTGTTTTTTGATGAATTACTTTCATTTTTGTTTCTACTTTTCATTTAAAATAAGTTTCCATTCTCAGCAGGTTTCTAAGGTTCTTCTTCTACATATTAAAAAGTTGTTAAACATCTGAGTGGTGCACTACTGCTACTAGTGGTGAGAAAGTGTATTGCACCTAATTCAAAATCAATCTGGTCCCACGGCCCTCTGRGGCCCAAAGTTAAAAACTGTTGTTCTTTTGAGACCCTCAAGGTMMCGTTAAGAATCTCTGATCTAGCAAACAGATTTTCTACCCCCCACTGTCATTCCAGCTCCCTCTATCCCCTCTTCCTGTCTGTTTCTTGCTCTGTGTTTTGACCCCACCCTCCTGTGTCCACCAGTGTAAGGAGGTGTGGTAAACGCCGTGTCCTTTCTTTCCCTCAGTGCAGAGCGGGTTGCCAGTGCAGGAGATGAACTCGCAGTAGACAACTTTGTGTTTGCTGAGCACTCTGATTCACAGAGCAGGGTCATTCCCCCCGAACTGGCAACCTGTGAAAACTCCTTTTTTCGGTCGCCCTCTCCTCAGGTGAGTTTAACCAGCAGTAGTTGGTCAAAGCAAAGAGACAGGTAATCAAGGTGCACCTCTCTGCTGTGCTCCATGGTTGATCGCTGGCCTTGCTCTCCATTTACTCCTGCTTTTTAATTCATTTTGGTTTTTCATTTCCTCTTCTCATTCTTATTGCTCCAATGGACAGTCTTCATTTTTCAACATGTATCCAATATTTCTATTCACTAATTTGTTTTTTTTTTCCTGTTTTTTCCCATCCATTCCTCTTTTTTTGTCCACATCATTGGCATCATTTCTGTGAAACAGTGAAGATGAGCAGCTTTCAAGTCAGAGCCAAAGTTCTGATGTGGACACAGAGATTCAGTCCAGTCCAGAAGAGACGGACTTGAAGCAGCAGAGAGAGCAGGAGCAGGAGGGCAACACCACCCTCCACCATCAGGACAAGCTGCAGGTTAGCATCTGTACAGTGAATCATTCATTCAGTAGAACTTTGCATATTAACATGTTGTTAAAATGTTACAGAAGTCTAAATAAATGCTGCTCTGTAACATTTCACAGACATGGCAAAGCAATAGATACTGTCAGGGGCTGAAACCATGTGGACTAAATGAGTTGATGTAAATAATTATCTGTATATCCCATCATCGTTTCTATACAGCTGCTATGTCCTGTTCTGTGTGTGAAGATGAGACCTGTCCCAGCTGACACTGGGAGAGAGGCAGAATTCACTCTGTAGGTTTTCAGTCTGTCACAAACTGAACACAGACCAGTAACCGTGCATGTTAGAAACACCTCCTGTCCTTATAAATCTTAAGACCAGTCAAAAAAGTGCAAGAATTTTCATTTTGCACTATTGGATCTTAAGAAGGTTCTAAGTAGAGCTTCACAATGTTAAAAGAAGAAATCAGTGCAAGAGACAAGAACTTTTGAGCAGGGAATTTTCTGAAAACTGCATTTAGTTTTTTTAGTTTAGTTTATTTCAGACAAACCTTTCACCGGCAGTGTAGAACAACATAAAGTACATAATATATTTCTTAAAAACAC